AATTCAGAAAGGCACGTACCGACCTCACGCTGCGGCTGCCGGTGGCTTTAAGAAGGTGGAAGAGATGCAGCTCTGCTGCCTGTCAGCCCTGCAGAAGGGTGAGGATAAGGCCAGTAGGATGTGCTGCAGGAACTGGGAGGCTGTGGGAAGGTTTCGCTGCACTATGGTAATATTACGACAGCATTACGAGGAATCCCCAAATGGCTGATTAACTGTTACATTGTGATGCTGTGCCCATGCGTGATGGTATCTGGGAAAAATGCAGCGAGGCAAACTAATTAAAATACTAACCTGGAGTTTCTCTGTATGTGTTTGCTTTTTTATCCCCTCTTCTTTTTCTCAGTTTTTTTCTCCTCCTTTTCATTTCCTTCTTTGCCATTCATTTTCCCTCTTCATTGTTTATAAAATTCCCTGTTATCATTTTCTTCCCATCTAGCTTCTTTCGTTTCTCCTTTTCTCCTAGCCCTTCTGTGCCCCATATTGCATTTTCCCTTCTGTTAATCAGTCCTTCCCCAGATCCTGACATCTCATGGGAACTGTCGTTCAAGGGCTTTAAGGCCGATTTTACAGTTTTTCCTCTCTTGTTCTTTTCTTATCTGCTTCGCAGGGGTAGGGACTGTTAGCCTGACTGGCAGAGCATTCCTGTTGTGGCTGGTGCTGCTGGTGGAAGAACAAATTTGCTGAAGGTCCATGAAGGCACCCTACCAAGGTCCAGCTCATATTTGCAGTGTTTCACAGACAGATTAAGCGCTTCACAGAAAAGCTATTTCGATGCAGTCGCAGTGTAATGTTTGTGTATAAGGTGGGAATGATGACGGTGCAGGGGGCGCAGAGGGGGAGAAGAATTAAGCAGGCTTTCCAAATGTATCATCGCAAAAATACTCATTTAACTGAGGGGAGGAAAGGACGGCTGTCTCTTTCATAGGTATTAGAAATGGCATGTTCCTGGAGTTGTTGGTTTCGATTTTCAGCTATGATAGGCCAGCTGTTATGTCATTTGCTGGCACTAATTACTGCAGGACTTAAGCTAATCCTGTTTCTGAAGAAGCCCAGCTCAGCTGCGCAGCTCCTGTTTTGTCACTCCGGCTGGTGGCAGGGAGGGCTCGGTGGCGCCGGGACACATCTCTGAGCCAGCCCCGTTTCTCCTGTGCTCCCACCAGCTCTCCCATGGGGTGGCCCACGTGCACAGGGCTCTGGAGGGGCCGAAGGGACCTTGGCAGAGCTCCTCTCAGTTCACCAGGCCGAGCTTGGCGAGAGCCACTGCGCAGCCCCGGGCAGCCCAGTCCAGCGGCTGCCACCACAGCTGCAAGCGCTCAGGGGCAGAGGGAAAGAATAGGCATTTTTTAAAATCGGGAATTACTCATTACATCTGGGAGCTCTCTGATGACACGTCCTTCTAGAAGACTGTCAAAAGCAAGCTTATTACCAATTCAGTTTATTCTCTCCTATTAGGTTGAACCACAGAGCAGCCGAGTTAAACTGACATCATTGGGTGTTACCCAAAGAATGAAATTATTTGTAATTAGAAATCCTATTCTCCTCCCAAACATTTCTTTTTAAATTCAAAGATAAATTTAAGGCACTCTTAACACAGCAGAAGCCACCACGCCGCAGCCAGAGGATGAGCTCCTGCTCTGGATGCGGGAGCCAGAGCCTCCTCCACCAGCTGCCTGTGGTACCCCCTGGGGAGCGATGCTGCGGGGTGTCAGGGCTCCCTGAAGCGTGGGGCACAGCCTGCATGAGGCTCGCATCCCGCATGAACAGTCAGAGGCTTCACAGTGTTCAGGAAGTTAATAATCACTTATGAACTCAGAAGTTTTTAATGGCTTTTAAACTCAAATTTAATTTCACTTTCAATCAAGTTGTATCAACTTTAGCTTAAGATTAGGTGACAGGCAGTCAGGCTGAACTGCTGCTCTGTACCTCCTCGTTTTGCTTTCCTGCCAGCCCTGGATGAATAGATTTACTTTTTTTTTTAATTTGCATAAAGGTAGGGATGAGTGTGCTCAGAAGAAAATATCTGCATTCCCCAAAGCCTTTGTTATGCAAGTAAGCAAACACCACCGATGTAAAATACCATTGTGTGACATTTGCAGCACTAAATATCAAATTTTGTGTTGGGCAGAAAATGTTTTTTTCCTGATGAATAGCTTTATTTCTAAGTTATTTTCTGGCTTTCCCTGTGACTAGAGAAAGGATGTTGGGGATGATAGAGAAACTGGAAAATCTTTGAGGTTCAGATTGGCATGTGTAAATCATATGTTTGAACCTGAGTCAATACCCCAGAAATTATTTTCCCCCAGACTCGATTGGTGGGCATCCCTGTTTGCTTTTTGATTTTGGGTTTTTTCTTGCTTCTGCAATGTGAGTCATAACCAGCTTCCTAGGTCTGAATATTTTTGTTCCTGTCTGAACATTTTTACTTAGTAAAATTAGTGGCTGTGCCCTCAAACATCTCTCTGCTCTCTTCCCCTGGCATGCTGTATTTTATACAGTCTGTTGTACTAAAAGCATTAAATGGAGTGTTGACAAGCATTTTGTGGTTTATGGCTTGGTAAGCGTAGGAGATGGGCGTTCATTGGACTCCTCTAGGCAGAAATGTCCATAGCATGACTGCTGGTGGTTGCTGGGGCCTGACCTGACTGGTCTCTTCCTCCAGCCTCCCCCACAAAGGGTTACTTTCTTATAAGAACCTTATAGAAAATTTCTTTTAATAGTGCCTTGCAGAGTTGGACTTTTAAATTTCAGAGAGTCCAGACCATTGCCCCCACTCTTGGAGCTGCCGTTTTAAAACAAAAGATGCTATGTCTTTCTTAATTCTAGCTGGGATTTAATCATAGCCTCTGTTACATCTTTTTTGCTCCTGTTCCAGAGGAGAGACTTTTACACACAACTCGTGATGCATTTAAACATTTTTTGCCTTAGTTAGAAAGGGTGTCTTACTATGTGCTTTCTCTTGCTGGATGCTTTCATATGCACCTTCTTTCTTTTCCTGGTAATTAAGTGTCTCAAGCTGGTAGCAACTTCCAGACTGCCCCTCTGCCTAAGTGAGTGTAAAATTCTGAGTGTAAGCCTAGAGTTAAACAGAAACAGCTCTTCACTCCTGTGGTCTTACATCTATTCACCAGTTATTATTTCCTCTTGTCAAATGAAGCAATAGCAAAGCTTTGAAATGATGTTGCGGCTTTTCCAAAGAACAATTTCCCTCTCCTCTTGCCTCCTTCTGCCTTTCCCTGTATATTTGATAGTACATCAGCTTTCTCTTGAAATGATCCCCAGTAGAGCACTTCAGCTATTTCAACTGGGGTTTTTCTGAAGGTATTTTTTAAAAACTAGCTTCTACAGCAGAGTTTGGTTATAATGAAGAACAATAAAAAAATCCTTCTGCCTTGGAAAGCCAGTCTTGTACGCACTAATGCATGTGGTGAACTCTGTGCCTGGAATATCCCCACCGGATTCAGTCAGTGGTATTGTTTGCACGCACAGAGTTAAGCACCTGTGTAAGTGCTTGCAAGGTGATGGCTTTAAATCTCACTAGAAGCTAAAAAGATATGCATTGCTGTGCAGGAGAGAATAAACCAAGACAACTCGCATTCATTGTCATTTTTTATTTTATTATCTGTGTTTCTAAAGTGGCTGTTACTTAGCAACACGTATAATGAAGAGAACAGCGATGATCTTCCAAAGAATTTCTTCACCCCACTCCAATACTTGTCTTCACTTTGATCTAGGCAGGATGTTCAGGAAACTTGCGGTCTGGGCAATTTCACAGTGATGCTGGGTGAATATCTGATATGACAGAAGACACCAAGGGCTACAGGATTTAATCTTAGCACAGTTTTTCAGATTAATAAATGACAGAACCAAAACCCCTACAGAGTTAGTTTCTTGCTGCTACTGCAGGATCGAATTTGGGCTTAGTCTGCTCCAGTATTTCTCTTTGATGTAATTGCCTAGGAAATCACAGAACAGTAGTCTTTTGAGTTGACAGGATTTTAAATGCTTATGGGTTGGACAATAAGGACCAGATAAGGACTGTATCAGGAGTCAGATTAATGGCCAGCCCGCAGTGCAGAGATCTTGGGTGAGGTGCTGTCATCGATACCTTTGGCTCAGAGGAGAAGTTATTCTGCGTGGAGTTGTTTGCAGCATGCGAGTGGAGCAGGAACAGCCTGTCTTGGTGGCCCAAATCTTCACATAAATCAATGGAAATCCTGGCATGGACAGCATATTTTCAATGAAGTTCACAATTTTTACAGCCTTTCTGTACAAAGCTTCATGGTGAACTGAACAATGACTTAGGATGCAATAGGCTATTCACGATATCACAGGGTTTTCCTGGGGGCATTGCTAATACCAGTGCACCATGCCAATCCAGAACAGCTGAAAAAAAGGATGCTTGGAAAGCTGGAAAGATTTGTGTTCACAGTAACACATGGTGTCAATGAATTGTGCAACGGGAAGTCTGTAAGCATGGATCTTTCTGGGTGCTGAATGAAGCGGAGGAGAAATGATGCCTCTCGGAGCTTTTGTTTCAGACTCTGAGCAGCTTTTGGTATTCATCATCATTTTCAGTTGCTGTATTTTAAGATGTGTCTGTAAACAAAGGACTTCTTAGAAAATATCTTTTTCAAGGGTAGACTGAAAAAGGGTGGAAGACTTTATGAAGCAAAAGCTAACGGCTTCCAAAGTATAACAATATAAGCAAGTTAATAAACATTGAGTGGTAGGTCATAAAATTCCCTTCAGATTTATATGAGAAAACAATACATTGTATAAAATCATAGAATAGATGACCTTTCTTCCTTTAAAAGCCTCAGCAGTTTCTCTTTAATGGCAACATAGTATTTGGAAATACTATTTCCTAAATAAACAATGTCATACTGCTTAACTTAAGGAAATACACTTTGGTAACAAGAGTTTCAGCACTTGTTTTTCTCCCTTCCCTTTCTCTAGGACAGTTGCACTGCCTTAAATGAGTTAGCCTAGCCTTCTCCTTGATGGAGAAGGAGGCAAGCCAACTCGAGAAGGACCATGTTCATAGTGTATATGAGGAAATTGCTCCTTATTTCAATGATGCTACAAGGCATGGCCAAAGGTGCAGCAGTTCATTTCAGAGCCGGAACCAGACAGCCTGATTGCTGATATTGGCGAGTGGGGTTGTTTATCACATTGCTAATGACAGTCTAAGTATGTCCTCTCTTTCTATCAAGCAATATTTGTGGCAGAAGAGTTTGCAGCTTGTGAATCAAAATGGCCAGACTGACTATCAAATTTGCCTCCTACTTTGCTCCACCATTCATAGGTATATGAAGACAGTTTGATTTTTCCCAGTATCCAGCAGGTCAACTAAACTGAAGCACTAAGCTGAAGCTAAATTTCTTAAGATGTCATTAGTGGATGCTAATTTTGTGTATTGGCATGATAAATCTGGAATTTGAAATCTTGTTTATCTCTTACAACATGTATTGTGTGTGGCCAATTTGAAGCAAGTATCATGACCCTGTCCTGAGTGCTTTGGGGAACAGTGTGTGACAGTTTTTAATTCCCCAAAGGTTTGAGAATGTCTAAATGGTACAAGGGAAGCCTCTGTACTGGCTTCAGCCCCTGCACCAGAAGTGGATACATGCTGGATGCCCAGATGAGATCTGGGCATTAACTCATCATTTCTACATGTTTAGGCTAGACTTCTAAATAACTTTTTGGACCTGTAATCCTTTACAGCAACACATATGTTAGTCTCCCCACTATAGCATGGGAACATTTGTGAAAGAGAAAAATTACTGAGGGTTGGGCTAATCACACTAACTTTTTGTGTGTCATTCAAACTTTACCATATACTTTTACCAGTTTATCACAGTCTAAATGCTGGGCACTGTATTCCTACCAGGTCTTGGCAGACTTTGCAATGTTTTCAATATGAACAAATAAAATGTATACAAAGAACCAGCACATTGAATTTTTACTGATGTCACAGACTTTGGACTTTGTTAACACTGCAATTTAAGCTCAGGCTTGGCTCCTGGGCTTTGGCCTGCAGAAGCTGCTGGCATGCTCTTGTGGTGTCCATGGCCTGAGACAAGTTTTGTGCGTGACACAGTCACCAAGAGTGGTGCCACAGTGCTGGGGAGGAGTCCACCTGCAGGGCTCTCCTCTGCCCTCCATCCCTGGGAAGCAGCCTCTAGTGTCAGATTGGAGGAAATGTATTTAGTAGCTGTTGTTTGGCTTATACTGGAGCCTTTCCCTCCAAAAATGAAGACCAGAAAAAGTCCTGGAATTCTCTTCCACTCAGACCTCCAGGGTAGTCCTCTTTCTGTTCTTTCTCCTTGGAAAATAGGGTTTAATATTAGCCAAGTGCTGGCACCATTTGACAGCACCTCTTCTCAGCTGGTGCTGAAGTCAGGCATGGGAAGGACTGTGAAAGCTCCAGCTATTCTCTGGATATCTTTCCTTCATTCCTGGGAGATGAAATCAGCAGTTACTATTAGACCAGCAGTTAGGAGCAGACTTCTATCTGCAGCTCAGCGATGATTCATCTCCCATGCAAATGGCATAACAGATTGATGGGGCTGGGAGGCTCCTTACTGAACATAGGGACCCATACAGGGTTTCAAGAATAGGTGCTATGGGATGGCTGTAACCTGAATATGGGGACTTAAATATTTGGAAGGCTCTAAAATAACTGTAATTTTTTTTAAAATGAATTAGAGAGAAAATCTGGGCTCTGACCCAAGCTTAATGTTTGCTGTAAGCGTAGCCATAAACAAGATGTGAACTAAGGTCTGCACAAGGTACAGGGTATTATGCTAGCCCCATGCATTTACCTCCCTGATCCTAATCTGAACTATGATTTTTATGATGCAAGTGAGAAGGCAAGTTTTTAAAATTAATAATCTACTTTACAATACACTTTGTGTTAAGATCCAGATAATTCTGCAAACAAATTATCAAAAATTTAGATAAGATCCATTTTACTGCTGACATTAAAATCGTTCTTATCTAAAGATGTCTGCCTTTATTTCAACACAAGAAGTATTTCAATTTGGGAAGATGTAAATTTCCGTGTCGCAGGCTCCTTTATGAAAAGGAAACTTCATGGAGATACCAGAAAAAGAAACTCCACTGTTGTCATGGTGACAGTAATTAGCAGCAGTTAAAACAGCAAACAATGAATTTAATGGTTTGGTCTAATAGTGACTTAATTACTTAGCAGTCTAGTTTGTCTATCAGCATTTCAATACACAGGAATAATTCAGTGCTGTGCTCCCACTACATGATGCTTTCACTTAGCATTTTGAGTCTATTACAAGCAGAACTGCAGTAGCATCATTACCATAAATATTTTTGATTCCGTAAGTGGTGGGAAGGCCAAGGTAAATGCTCTCTAGCAATCCCACCTCTTGTCACGCAGCAGAGAGCCTGCTAGACAGAAAGGAGCAGTCTGTGCTCATTGTACTGTGATGGTAAAAAATAACCTGAATTCCACTGCAATTGTATCATCTCCTTTAAAATGGGTGGAGAATTTCAAGCTATTAGGCCAGTCAAGGGCATACATCATGGCTTATGTCAGGAATACATTTTCTTTTGTACAGACACCAAATGTCTGCCTTTCTTTCTCCTCCTCGTTATTTCTTCAGGCTGCAGAAATGGCAAATACCTGCACATCTATTCTCAAGTCTATAAACTGGGTTGCAACTACTGTTTCCCGTTGGTGGAATCAGCACGAAATGAAGGCCATGAAGTAATGGTATGTCATAGCTTGTATCTGCCTTACCAAAGTGAGTGCTCTGATGCTGTCCTGTCCATTGCTGGTAAGTTCTGCATACTGCCAGTGTCTATATGTCAGACCTTTAAAGGGTCTAAAGCATTTAGTCTCTTCTAGGTTTGGGGTTTTTTCAGTGACCAACAGAATTTTTTGGGTTTTGTAGACCAGGTAAATCTATATTAACACAAGAAATGTATATTATTGCAAACTCGGTGAAAAATTGCAAAATGGGTAAGTCACACAGATGTGAGCTGTTTTATTCTGGTCCAAGCACAGCTAAAGTACAATGTGCAAAACAGGAAAGGAGAGCCTTATTTTTGCCTTATTACACGGCAGAAATTTGAAATGTTGGCTCTATCAGGATGAAAATACAACAAAACTTGCTTAGGAACACTGAGCGTATTTGAAGCTCAGTATTAAATCCTTCTGCACCTTTCCAAATGCTGTTTTTTACCCCAATGCTCCATGGTTTGTCAGCCAACACAATCATTTTTGTGCTGATGAGGATAACCATGACACTGATCTAAAGATTTTAGCCGAATCAGTTACCCATTGCTTCACTGCAGAGAGACCTGTTTCAGCAAAAGCAGGGGATAATGCAAAGAACAAGGAGCCGATGACAAAGCAAGCAGAAGTGCTTGTTTCAGTGGCACTGCTGCCTTGAAATGTTCATCAAATAACCTCAGATTTCATTTCTTGTAAGATTTTTCCTTTCTGTTTAGTTGCCCCTTTCAAGGTAACTTAATGATGGAGGAACTACCTGTCTTTGCCACTTTTAAAGCAGACATTGAATGGTACCTTTAGCCTTTACTTCGTTCTCTTTTAAATTTTGAGGGTTCTTTTGTTTTGGGAGTCTTGAAATTACTCAACCACCTTTTAAAAGTTAGGTATTAAGCTTATACTGATTAAAAGTTGGACAATACTGTAAATAAAAAAAATTACAGTGCTCAGCAAATTTGATTTTCCTTTTCTCAACCAAAGGACTGTGAAGGTCTCAGCCTTGTTAAATCAAAGTGGAATGTTGAAGTTAGTGAGTAGCCTTACACAGCCTCTTCTCTATGTCTCAGGTGACCTTTCTTTAAGCCCTGCAGGACTTCACTTTTCAAGTCCAGGTCCATGTCATATAATTTGACATTTGATGGAAATTTGAGATTGCATTATTGTCACTGGTACATCATTGTACGGGGCTGTGAACCACGCTCAGCTACACTGTCTGAAAATCTTTCAGTCATGATTTAAGAAACGTGACCAATAGCTAACAGTCCTTATTACTGGGTTTTCACATCCTTTGCCCAGATGGAGTAACAACCATCGTGTGCCCAAAGGTGATTTGGCATCCTCTGGAAATCCAGGGTAAGGAAGTGAAGGACAAGCCAGATTTGTTGAAAAAGGTATGTAGCAATGTTCAGAAGTTGTCTGGCTCAAAAGAGTCAGTGCCCCAGGAGTACTTGTGAACAGTCTACAGAAAAACAGAGTAGCTGGGCGGAGGTTGCTGCTGGAGATGCAGAACTACAGACCTTCCCATTCGCAGCAAGCTGAAAGCCCTGTTTGCGTGGCTGCTGTGCAAGAAGCTAGAATCGGTGAGGAATCCAGAAGAACGCTTGGGCGACAGGTAGAACTGCGTGGTTATGGACTGTGGCCCTTTCAGCACTATAATATGGCTGCAAATTACAAAGCTATTTCCGTTGCAGCCTTTACCATCACAGATCATGCATGAACCATAGTAATGATCGTGTTTCCTTATTATTGCTGAAAAATATGGTTCAGATGCATTGTAAAGCTTTAAATAATATGTTGAATTACTATATATACTAGTATATAGTATAATACTAGTATGGTACGTATCATAGAATCATAGAATCATTGAGGTTGGAAAAGACCTCTAAGATCATCGAGTCCAACCATCAACCCAACACCACCATGCCCACTAAACCATGTCCCTAAGCGCCTCATCTACACGTCTTTTAAATACCTCCAGGGATGGGGACTCCA